ATGTTTTCAAAGATTACTCTTCCCTAAGACGACCAGTGAACTGAAAACCAAACCACACTGTAATTACTTGACTGAACTCATCGTTCAGTTTGACTCATCAACAACCAGCCAGTTTCCTCTGAAGTCTTAAAAAACATGATTTGTTCACCTGACACACGCAGTTTAATATAAACTAATCTTTTCCCACCTGTAAACACAGACCTTGAAGTAAGAGTGTTACTCACAGATCTGAAAACACTCTGGTGAACACACGAAGTCGATAAACGGCCCTCGTGTTTACTTTCATTCATTTCAAGCTTTTGCCTTTTTTTGTGCCGGAGAGTAATTTAAAGCAAAGTGTCAACCGGGTGTGACGTCCCCAAACTGCAGAAGACAGACGAGTGTCAGGAGTCACTGACCCACGTGTAGAAAGTCGTGTACTACACAATAAATGTACTGTAAGTGTGTGTTTATAGAAATACTGACAACACATTTAACTGGTGCTCTGTCAAACTTGATGTGAAAACCACGACGCAACAGAACCACAGTTTGGTTTGAGACTCCAGCTGCATTTGATTCCAGTATTATATTTAAGGCTGGAGTTTAATTTACTAAATTATGCAGCAAAGACGTTCCTGGTTTACTTCCTCATTACTTTCTACAGCGATCAGCTTGTTTTTGACTGTGTGGATCATCACCTTCCAAACCAGGGCAAGTTATTCTTATCCAGTATTTTCGGTTCACCGCGAGACAAAGCTTGTAAACGGTGGTTTCACTGACTCCTTGTGAATCAGTCCGTCTCCTCATCAGAGCTGTTCCTGCCCCACATGTATGACATGTTAGAATCCTTACAGAGCTCAGGTTGCGCGTCCCTGGAAATTTGTTTTTCTGTCCGCATTCGCTCTCTCCCTCTTTTTCTCCCCCCCGCTCCCGTGAGTGATATGGTGGCGATCACCTGGAGACACATTTTTTGAAAATGTTTGTGTGCACGTGAGAGGGAGAGATGCAGGGGATGGGTGGTGTGAATGTCTGAGCCATCATCAGCTTTGATTGGCTTTGAGTGGCTCTGAGTGCTGGGTCCACCCCATCGGCTTTCCTGGGTCCTTAGGAGCAGTGTGTGTGTTTGTGTGTGTGTGTGTGTGTGTGTGTGTGCACATGCGCCTCTGTGACCATATTAAGTCCCTGTTTGAACTGTGAAACCATATCAGGGCATCAGGGAAGTGTTTTTAGAGACTGTGGTTCACACAGAGACGGAAGGTTGAAGCTATGTCAGCCAGCGAGCGCCCCACTGAAGTGTCTCTGAGCAGAACACTGACTCCCCATCAGACGCTTTGTCCACAGAGATATTATAAATCAGTTCCATCACAGAGCGGATCCTGTATTAGTACAACAATAATAAATAATAATAATGATAAAATCTCAATCTCCCATAAAGGTCTGGGTGTTTTGAATGTCTTGTTTTCTGTGTTCTCATCTTTTCCGATTAGCAGCAGCGCAATTTGAATCCCCTGCACGTTTGCTGTAGTCGTAGAGTCGGTCAGTTTCCACAGCGTCGTCTTTGTTGTGTAATCGTCAGCATTACCGCCGCCTGGTGGACTGGAGTGGAACATCTTTTTTCTAGTTTCCGCTTGTTCGGACGTCAGCAGGATCATTTGCCTTCTCTTCTCTGGTGTTTAGACTTCAAATGCAGAAGAGCACCGGCCTTCTTCCTTTCAAAGAAGAAACTGTACGTCCCACATAACATGCTACAGCTGCGTCATACATGTAAAAAAAAAAAAACTCTGAGAGCTGTTGAAGGCCACTTTTTCATCCTCTGAACACTGTGGCTGAGAGTTCATGAAGAAGTTCATCGATGAAAAAGGCGAAGCTCTTGATTGTCTTTATATTTGCAACCAATAAAACAGTTGAGTGATTAAAATGAAAATGACCACCCATTTCCTCTGCACTCGTGAGGAGGAGGTGTCGTCGACTCGATTAGCACCTCCATACATACCAGAGGCAGCGCTGCAGGCAGGAGAAAGGCTCCGAGTTAATGGTTAACCAGCCTATGTAAAGACAGTCAGATAGCTGAGCTTATTAGCAAATAGGTGTGTGTGTGTGTGTGTGTGTGTGTGTGTGTGTGTGTGTGTGTGTGTGTGTGATATGTATTAAAATACTGCAGCTCTGCACAGGCAGTAGAATGTCTCACATGTTCATGCCATCAGGATGGGAATTATGATGTTATACATATTACATATATGTGCATGTTAACAGTTCATGCTTTGATGAGTGTGTGTGTCGGTGTGCGCAAGTGCACACATGCCAACATGGATGTCTGCATGTGTGTTAAAATGAGAAAGCGCTTTTTTTTTGGCCAAGTTGGCATATCTGTGTGTGTGTGTGTGTGTGTGTGTGTGTGTGTGTGTGTGTGAGTGTGTTGGTGTTTTGTATAGAAAGTGCTGTGTGCAGTAGAACAGGGGATTTGGTGCCATCAGCACGGTGATGTCAGCACCCAGAGACAAACAAAGCCAGAATCCAAACCCTCTCCCGGCTACCCACAATCCCCCTGGACAGCGTGGGGGGCCCTGCCTGGGGGCCCTCTGCTGTTAACACACATGCATCCACGTTAACACGAGCGCTCTCTCTTTCTCTCTCACACAGAAATCAACACACATGCACTTGCGTCTACGAGGACGGTAAACACAAACACATCCAGTGTACACATACTACACACATACAACACACATACTACACACATACAACACATATATATATTTATTAAGATAAAAAACTTCTACTGTACATACATGAGCTCATTTACATATTCACATCCACTCACATGTATAATTCTATCAGCTCACTCGTGCAGTGTGTCTCTACCCGTCACCATGTGTATATGCAGAAATCCTCCCTCATGTTCATTTACTCTGGATTCAACCAGGATTATTTTCTCACACATATGCTCCAATGTGGAAAGTGAAACCATCTGTAAACTAAAGTGCTTTTCAGGAATGTTAAAGTGACTAAGAACTAAGTTACAGGAAACTCAAACCAATGAAAAGCATCAGTAGAATTCTGTAAGAGTTCAGATACAGTGAGCAGCCTGCTCCTGTGGACTTTCAGTCATTCAAAGTATAAAATGTGTTTAGGAACCAACAAGGAAATTCAAAATGTCTTTTCAAACAGAGCGTTCAGTGTTGTTTCAAATACAACTAAGTTCCTACTTTGTTGAAAACGACGCCGCGCCGCGTGTGAGTGAGTGAGCAGTCAAACCCGAAACACACCTCTGTTTGCTTTGGCCCGGACATCTGCCGCGCTGCAGCGGCCTCAGCCTCATGCCTTGCAAACGGGGAATGACTTTACTACATCGTTGGTGGAGTTCAGATGAATAAGCTGTGACTGAACCGAGGAGGAGGAGGAGGATTACGTAGATACGATGTGTTTAGATGACTTAACACAGGCCGTTATCCAAGAGGACTGGGAAGGTCAGGACGATCTCACACTGTCACGGCTTCAATGATGCAGTTTCTGTTAGAGATGAAAACACTGTTCTCTCCACGGTTTCCAATATTATCCTCCTCACTTCCAACACTGTGAGGTCGAGCTCAGATTCACCTGCAGCCTCGGCCAAAACACGCTACAAGTGAAGTTATGTCCCCTTGTGGTCAATAACACATGGCTGCTGCTGTCAGAGGCTAATTCATCATCAGACATTAGCCGCTGGGCTACGACGCTGCGCGTGTGACCTTTTCTGTGTCCTTGTTCAGACCTTGTACTTTTTAAATGAAGTCAGTGTCTTGCTCCGTGAATTAGAGTCAAATCACAGGGTGTCAGCTGGACGCTGCAACGACGAGTGTGACGCCGCTATCTCCTAATTGAACTGTTGCACAACAATTAGCAACTGTTGCTGTCTTCCTCTTTAAATGCCCTTCTGTTCTTAACAGTAAGAGCCAGACGAGCGCTGGCAGAGTAAATGCGTGAGTGTGTGCGTATTTGTTTGTGTTTCTTTTTTTGGGCAGAGAGTCGGGGTAACTGGGCGTACTTTACCCAAACAGGTCCTCATTGTGCTGGAGAAGGAAGAGCAGGGTCGTACTGCACCCTATTCAGCCAAGTTTGGGTGCAGGGGGAGGCACGGAACACTATGCATGTTTGTTTGTGTGCGTGTGTGTACGTGTGTGTGTGTGTGTGTGTGTACAGTAGTATACAATGACTGCAGGGAGATTTGGATGCATACATCCACTGTGCGTGTTGAGGGGGATGGATTTTATCAGAGTTCCACCCTCATCCCTCCAAATCCTCTCTGTGTGTGTGTGTGTGTGTGTGTGTGTGTGTGTGTGTGTGTGTGTGTTCCTCGCACACTCGAAGTGCACAAACCGGGGAACTGCTGCATCAGGTCATCTGTCAGTGTTTCCATACTGCNTGTGTGTGTGTGTGTGTGTGTGTGTGTGTGTGTGTGTGTGTGTGTGTGTGTGTGTGTGTGTGTGTGGTGGGGGCCAACAATAGCTCCCTTTGACCCTTATAATGAGGCAGTGCTTCATATTCAGATGCTGCTACACAGTAGATTTTCTGTCGCATTAGTTTGAACCTCGCACCAGAGCAGCTTCAACTTCGAGCAGCTAAACTTTATAACGACGCAAAAAAAAAAAAAGGTTCCACATCTGAACCGTAGCCACTTGTTGCCTGGTAACACAGCTTTGCATCTGGCAGCGTCTGGAATGGGAACCGTTGTGTGTGTGTTTGTGTGTGTGTGTGTGTGCAACCTTTTAGTGTCAACAGCTTTTCACCAAGGCCGAGTGTTTTTAAGAATCAGCTTCCTTCGAATCCACCCGCACCGGTTAAACTAAAAATAAATCCAGGAGAACGAAGTGTGAGCGCGGCACAGATCTGCACAGATGTTCATCTAAATACTGCGGAAAAAATCTGATAAATGGTTTAAGACTCAGCAGCAGTTTATTGTAAAAAAAAAAAACCCTGATTCATTGATTAGCAGTTTGTGTTTGATTATTGGTGATTAATTAATTTGACTTGTTGTGTTTTCTCAGTGATGTAAGAGAAGAGAAGATGGAATCAAGAGACCAGGATGTTGCATGAACCGGATGGCAAGTGGGGACTGGTAGGTTTAGTGAACACACACACACACACACACACATTCACACTGAGTCCCATAGAGAGACCCAGCAATGCCCTGGAGGGTGCCAGTCATGCCCAGCTTCCGCTGCGCTCCAAATTGAGCGTGGCACAGAGTGTATGAAGTCAGCCGTCTGGAAGAGAGCCAAGCATTGTTCCTCCAAGCAGCTGGATGGTAATTACTAGAGAGAGAGAGGGGGGGGGGGGAGGGGGCTCGGGGGGGCTCTGCCACCTCACTACTGTTGCTTCTGTTCCCTCTCCTGGTGCATGTATCGTACAGGAAACTGATTTATATGGTGAAATAACAAGTGCTGTAGGTCGGACAACGTGAAACAACGCTCGTTCCGTGTCACAGAACCAGCGGGGAAGTGATGTGAACGGCTCCAGTCAGAAGTTTCAAAATGAATATGAATAAAGTTTGTTATGTTATTATATAATGAAGGATAATGAGTTTTTAATCACATAAAGACGATGAGCGTAAAGTAGAAGGACACTGAGCCAAAGCTGATTCACCACATTGCAAACACACATATTGAGATCAGCCTGGTTCGAGGATGTAGGCGGCAGGAAGTGACGTATGAAGTCATCTTGACACCGGCTCAAATCATCTGAAGCTTTTGAATCTGGCTCGTCATTTTCTTCCTGAGATATTTATATTCTTTTCTTTTTTTGCGTCCATGGAATCATCAGTACGTACGTCCCTGTGTGTTTGTTTGTTACATTTACTGTATCTGATCAAACAAAGAAGCTCGATGGACATAAAGTGGAACATATGATGCATCAGGCCGGCAGAAGGAGAGAGAGAGAGAGACAGACAGAGAGAGAGAGAAGGAGGTGGGAGGTGGAGGAAGCTTTTGCAGCAGTCCGAGCCTGAGGAATGTGTCAGCTCGCTGTCAGCTATGTGCTGCTTTGTCATGAGGCCGCAGAGCTGGAAACACGTAAAGTAAAGTTGCCTTTTTCACACCTTCGACTCCTCCTGCCCTCCTTCCTCCACCCCCCCTCTCCTCCACACACACACACACACACACTCTCTCACAGTGGCAGCAGTAGCCAGGCCAGCGCTGGTGCAGCTGTGACCAGAACAATAGCATTCCTCAGGTTTTAAACGCCTGGCACTTAGATTCCTAACAGTCAAATTCCTGGCGGGGAGAAGCCGGGGGTTGCTATAGGACGCCGAGAGCCGTAAGACGCAGTGTGAGGAGACGTACAGCTGTAAAGCTCTGTGTGATTGTTTTTTTTATGAGAGGGATGGATGGGTTCATGAGCACGGTGGGGGGGTGGGGTGGGGGGGGTGGGGGGCTCTGTTGTTCCTCCTCACGTTCTGTTTCCTCAGATGTGACATTTTCCACACTGCAATTTTAGCAGTTTAGGTCGAGAGGCGTCCCGCTGCTTTGTCGGGGGGCACCGTGTGTCGGCGGAGGCACCTGTTATGTCAACACGTGTGTACGGTAACTGGTTGTTGGCACATGTGGCGCCGAGAGCTGCACAGATGTGCTGAAAGTGACACATTAGTTTTAAGAGTGTTAAATTAGGCGTTAACGTCGGAGACAAACAAGGATGTGTTGTGAGTGTGTTGTGTATGTGTTGTGTGTGTGTTGTGTATGACAGCTCACGTTTCTTCAGAGAAATGAGGCAGAAATAATGAAACTCTGACTCTAAGTGTTGTTTGTTTGTTTTTTTCCCCTTCACAGAAAAAGGGTTTTTAATTTAAGCCTTTCAAAATGTGACTTCTGCTGCTAAGAGGCTCTTACTGGCCTTTACTAAATCTGTTGACTGACTTTATTTTGAAATCCTCTCTGTAGGTTTTTTTAAAAAGAAAGAGCCCGAACTCTGCGGCCCTCGCCTCGTGTGTGCCTCCTCTGGTGGCTCCAGGTTCACACAGCGCTGAGCTGCCCAACTCTATCAGCCCATCTGAAATAACCCCAAAAATAACGATTCTCTCATTAACCACGCCTGTTTCACAATTTAAATATAAATGAATCTAATTTAGAAAACCTCGGCCCCGATGAAGGAGACTCATTTAGAGCCAATCTAAAATTAATGAGGGCATCTGGAGAGAGAGAGGGAGAGAGAGAGAGGGAGAGTGGAGAGGGGCCCTGCGTTGGCTTAACAGATACTGCGTTAACAAGCTACTGTACTTTAAACGCTGGGAAATCCCTTTTAATTTTAAAGTTAACGCACTACTGTACTCTGATTGGTGGAGAAGCTCTTTAATGTTCGGCTCAAACACTTAACGGTGACGTGTGCACACTGACTCTTGGCCTGTCGCTGTCAAAACCTCCTTTATGCTGTCAGACGCCAGCGTTTATCAGACGCCAGCGTTTATCAGACGCCAGCGTTTATCAGACACCAGCGTTTATCAGACGCTGCCTGCTCGTGCAGAATTATGATTTTCTGGACATTTTTTAAAACACAATGACGTTTGAATAAGTTCATGCGTGTTTGCGGGTTTCAAACCAGAGACTCTGATGCTGTCAGATTTCCCCCTTCGCAGTTCTCGTCCTCCGCAGAGTTGAGCCACAGAAAACTGCTTCGGCGGGAACAGAATCTCCTCCTGGTGCATTTCATCTTCAGAAAAAAACTACAAAAAAATTATTCTCACAACTGCATCGAAGCCAGTTTGCATTTAAATTAGTTTCAAGATTCAAGAGATCTTTACAGTGACATTTAATGTGGAGCAACACAGAAGCCTAATTGGTAACACACATAAAACATATATATAGCCAGGGTCTGTGTATATAAAGTGTCCTGGGTCATTGACTGAGCTTTGTGTATTAATCCATCCTGGTTTGAAAGTTTGATCTTTTTAAAAAAAACACATTTAACTGCCATGCCGTCCGTAACGTTTTTTTTTTTCGGTCTCTCGAGAGGCTCCAGCAGATGCCAGCCATCTCCCACAGTGACTGTTTGGTTTTGCAGGTTTAATTCCCGATGGGTTTGGGTCCAGAGTGATTAGGCTGTGCCCTAAAGGCCAGCGGGCTTGTCAGGTGTCTCCACACATTAACGTTGTTCTGCTTGCACCCTGAGCCGACAGCACAGCGAGGCGGAGGGCTGGAGGAGAAACGCTGATCTGGCGTGGTGGGAGGCACGGAGGATCCCGGTGTTTAATTGTATTCTTCATACGCTAAATAATCTTCGAAAATATGTTTTAATTCAATTTTTATTAAGAGTGAGGGGACTTATCTGACATTTAACAAACTCAGGGGGTTATCTGTGACACTTAAAAGGTGGTTGATTGGTTCTTATGTGAGAAAACTTCTTAATTTAAAGTCTTAAAACTGATTTCTAGTTTTTTTTTATGGTGTTAAAAAGGAGATTTTTGATTTTGAAAAAACACAACGTGATAAACAATTTAATTTAATTCTCTCTCTACATTTTTTTAATGTATGTTTCTGACTCAGGCCCTTTTCCTTTGTGTCGTCGTCTTCCTCTGTTTGTAAAAGCAACACTGATGGATGCCACCTCAACATTTTCGTCTTTAGCCTTTAACCCTAAAACCAGCGGAGAGATAACACAGCCGACTCTTCTCCGCTGGATTCAAATAAACTTGCTTTGTGTCCGAGCACAAACAACTTCCTGCACGCAGACATTCAGCTTGTTAACGGGGGCGGGCAAAACAAAAAAACAAAAAAAACTCAAGCTCTTCCTGCTTTTGACCTCCAACCCCATCCTACCCCGTCCACACCCACCGCGGCCACAGCAGGGTGCAGCTGTAGGGGGGAGGTGGTGCTGAGGAGATGGCGTTAGGCTTTAGTGCGTGTCTGTGTAGGCAGAGGAGGTGATGTTGAGGGGGGGGGGGGGGGGGGGGGGGGGGGGGGGGGGGGGGGGTGCTCGTGTCCTGCTCTGAAGTAGAGGAGGAATAAAGTGGAGGAGGTGGAGGGGGAGATGAGGAGACCTGCTGAGAGGGCAGCCTATATGCACTCCTCCTCCTTCCTGCTATACCTCTCCCTCCATCCCTCGCCTCTTTTCACCCTCCTCCTCTTCCTCCCTCTCTGTCTCCAGCCGTGGGGGTAAAGTACATTACATGCTTGCTAATCAAACCTCCATTACAAGTTTGGAGGGAATGAAGCAAGAGTTCTGAGGAGTCTTCTTCTTCTTCTTCCCTCTTTCTACTCACTTCAGTGTGTCTCCTTCACCTTACCTCTTCTCCTCCATCTCCTCCGAAAGCCTCTTAACTTTTGAACGGTGTGTAATACGCTGGAAGTTTTCCACTGACATGGTAACATGTGATGCCAGAATCCTTTCACACACAGAAAACACCATAAATACACTTCAAACTGCTGAAAACACAAGAAGCCGCAATACCAACGGATACAAAAACAGGTTTGACGATGTGGATTAGTTATTAAAGGATGTTTTACATGATGTCACATGGCAGCAACAAGTCTTTTGAAAGTATAAGTTTGAGCAACTTGACCGATGCATGAAAATTGTAAACTGAATTTCGGTGCCTGTCATGAAACTGGCTGCAGGTCACGAGCAGAATCCCCCTGAAAGTCAGAATACAGAGAAGAACATGTTTGAAATGTGACGTCTGATGTAACGTTAAAAACATCCACTGTCACCACAGTGTTGGTCGGACCGGTCGTGTCAGTGTCAGTGGTTCTGTTCACACGGGATTGTTAGTAGTTTAAAAAACTTACTGACTTGTTTCACTAATGTCTAAGGGGGCAGACGTGTTTCCTTTCGGTTTGCGTGTTCTCCTGCAAAGCGTCTGAGCTACCGTTTAAATGTTTAGCAAGTTTTAAAACATGTTGATTAGAATTTGAGATGAGATTTAATGAGCTAACTGGGTTTTATTTTCTCAGCCGAGCGTCCACGTCATGTTCTGCCTCCTTCACGTTCTCTGGCCTGAATGTTTCCGATATCTTCCGTTGTTGTGAACGTGTCGGACACAGTCCATCTCCTGCTCTGTCTCTGTCTGTGAAAGGACACCGGGACAATCTAAGACCCAGTCTTCTGGAGAACTTTACCGGCGGTGCACGTCTGGCTTGTTGATTCTAGCACCAGAACCAGAAAAGTCACATGTCAGCCAAGTGGAGGTTTTGGATTCTCTACAGCCGGAGATAAAAGTGTTTGGATTCTCCTCTTGTCTGGTTTCAAACTGCATTAAACTCCATTATAAACCAAACTAACAGGAGCTCACTGGGAAACAGTGGGCTGATTTGAATAAGCTGCGGAAGCCCTCTCAGAGCTCTGTGGTCTGCCAACCATCCAGGGGATCAGAGGAGGAGGTCTGCACAATACCGCAGAGACACACACTGGATCTACTGTACACAATATCTGGACTTACATATTGAAAGCGATACACACAGGAACACAAAAGACGTAGCGGAGACAGTCTTACAGGGGTAATTAGCCATGCACCCAACCAGAGCTCAATTAGCATAAGAGCACAAGCTCTCCCAACACAAACAGGCAGCTTTTGAAATCTGCTCTCTTGTTGTTGTGTTGACACAGAGAAGAGCAGTTATATGATCATTTATTCTCTTATGACTCAGTGGTGGAGTTAAAATTCCAAGTCTGATTAAAGTGTAGATGCTCTGCTCACATTTTCTTCATCTCCACTTTCTACCTGATGAATTTAGCAACACACACATTTGTGTTATTTACAAACTGAGGGAGGAGGAAAGAAAAGGTTGAGCTGATACTTATAATAATAATTCATCACGCTGCTTCCTTCCTTTCTGTGGGTAATTGGATTTAGCGAACACCTGTATAAGTGTAGATTGTTCAGGGGATTATGGTCAGGGAAGCCTTGAGTCACCACTAATTATCATCACACACACACACACACACACACAGAGTTAGACACAGAGTGTTCTCACATTTCCCTGTGCACCAAACTCCAGAGAGTTAATTGATATTTTAAGGTCGTTGTGGCTTTAGCTTTAGCCGGTGGACATCATAGTAGAGATTTACGTGTCCGGTAGTTATTATTAATCTAGAAACTCACTTTGTTCTGGCTCCACCATGAGTTTCCAGTGCTTCAGGTATTTTTGTATTTTCTAACATTTGGCTTTAACTTGTTTTTTTGGGGGAGAAGTTTAAATTTAGCTCCGACCGTTACGACAGCTGTTAACTGTGATTAAACTGTTGACGAAGCTTATGTGAGGTTGATCTAAAGTCTGATATTCTCCAGAAAATATCCAGAGCGGCTGAACACCGATGTCTAGCCGGATTAGGGAGCGAGAGTGAGTGAGGGTGTTTAATGACGTTACAGAGGTCATACATGTAGGAGACTCCTCCCACACGTTCCTCACCTGAACGCTGCGTAAATGTTCTCGTTGTTGTAAACGCGTCCGACCCAGAGAATCTCCGGCTGCATCGCTCGTGTGCTAAAGGGAAAAGTTTGGAAAATGTTCGGAGCGAGTCCCCGACCTTTTCTGGAACTCGTGTCAATCTCAATGTTTCCAAAAACAGTTTTAATGAAATGAGACGCAGATGAGAACGAGGGAGGGAGGGAGGGAGGGAGGGAGAGGAGTCCCACAATGAAATATGAGATAGCAGTGTAGCTGTTGAAAGAGAGAGAGAGAGGGTGTGCGTGCATGTGTGTGTGTGTGTGTGTGTGTGTGTGTGTGTGTGTGTGCGTGTGCGTGTGCGTTTAGATAAGCGATGAACAGACAACGCTTGTCCTCAAGTCAAAGAGCTCCAGTGGCTAAAACCCATCAGGCACCATCACACACACACACACATTCTCACACGGACAGGTGATACATCATGGATGTGAGAAGGAGGAGGTGGAGAATCGGGGTTAAGGATGGACAGATGAGAAGGAGGTGAAGCAGAGGAAGAGTGGGAGGGAGAGGAGGGTGAGGAGGGTGAGGAGGAACCCAGCGGGGGACAGACGAGCAACAGACAGTTACTCCACTTTATTCATGTTTGAGAGAAACGGTGGAATCGATGAGATCAGTGCAGAGATGATGTCTCAGGTCGTCTCGTCTCTTCACTTTGAACACTGATGTTGTGTCTTTGTGTTGTCGTGTTGCTGACATGTTTAACACACACACACATGTTTGAATATGAAGACATGATAAGTTACATCAAACAAGAGAAATAGTTAAATCTGACTCATCGTAAGTTTGTTAAAATGACGACGACACGACGAGATGAAGAAACAGGAAGCAGAGGAAGTGTCCTCATTGTCGTTCTCTGTCGCTGTCGTCGAGCAGACGGATAAAACAGGTTTTTCTAATTTGTTGGATAAAATAATCTTCATCTTGTTTTCAAGATTCAAGAATGTATTTATTTTTTAATGCTTGTGTCACAGGCTCCATTCTCACCATGCTCAAAATATTGAATATATAACATAAAAGTTAAGTATTAAAATAAAATATGATCAAATATACATTTTTAAACTCAAGTAAAGTATTTTAATACTGAGTAGTCTGAATGAATGAATGAATGAAGAGTAATACTGATATGAAGTAATACAGATGAAGTATTAGTGCAGTTACATGATGGAGCTCTCACTCAGAATTAATTGACGTGAGACGTCCCAACGGTTCGAACCGAACATCAAACTGCTGATAATCAAAGATCTGATTTAAAACCTGCCCCGGGGGCAGAAGCTCTCTGAGGCCGCGGCACTCGTTCACTTAGACTCAAGTCTTATTCAAAGCTCACGGTCTGTGTAACTTTAGTCTCGGGGTGGCGAGATGAGAGAGGGGAGGAAGGGAGTGATGGACAGCTCGAGGGAGGGAAAGGGAGAAGGGCGGATGGAGGGGTGGGGGGGTGCATGGTGCGGCAGAAACTTCCCATGCTGGCCTCCCAGTGTGGCTACGTAATGAGGGCAAGGGACACAGACACACACACACACTCACGCACACACAGACACACACTTGGGGCCGAGCATGGCCCCACGGCTGATTAGCGGCGCACAAAGGCCCCAAACAGAAGTAGCAGAGGACACACAATGGGAGCAGGGCCTCAAGGCGTGGTTTACTTCTGCCCTGAGGGAGGGGGCGAGAGAGGTTGAGAGACAGTGAGCGACGGGGAGAGAGAGAGAGAGAGAGAGAGGGTCCCACTGAGCTGGACGAGCAATCGATGGGAGGAGGAGGAGGGAGGTGTGGAGGGAGGGGGGAGGAGGGAGGGGGAGAGTTCGCCGGGGTTAGAAAAGTGACAGAGGCAGAGAGGAGTTTTGTTTTTGTCCTGATGGAGACGTTCGCCAGAGGATGTGACATCATTCATGTTATGATATTTAAATGTCTCTTGTCTTCATGAATTTAAGGACAAATAAATAAAACTTATTCTTTCCAACTACAAATAAAGTCTGATCGTCGACTCCTCGTCCGTCATGATCCCTCAGGTGACGATGGTTTGACTTCTCGCTTCAGCCTCGTCCCAGCGGCTCTCTGCGTAGATTAATACACATCTCCATATTTCTCAGAATGAATATTATGCGACTAATGACCGCGGTCTTCTTTTCACAGAGGAGCAGCCGCCGCTGTAATCTCCACTGTTCAATTAGCTGCAGAGGCCAGGGCCACGCCTCCGACACTTCATTACCACGGCCATGTTATGAAGGTATGGAGCTCCGTCTGTATCAACCCCCCCCCCAACCCCCGCTTTCCTGGAGAAAAATCTGACCTGCTGAAGAATCTAAACTTTTTTATACTTTTCAGAAAAATATAAATCAGCTTTAAAACTGATTTTTGTGGAATTTTCACCAAGAGGCAACCGAGGGAAATAAATGAGGGGGGGGGGAGGGGGGAGTTTAAATCTACAAAGACAATTTAGCTTTTCCTGTTTTTCCAATTACTCAATGCTATTTAAATACACACACACACACATTAATGGTCCTCAGCCTTGAAGAGGCTCCTGAAATAAGTCACGCACTAATTGTATTTGATAAATCATAAAGGGAGCCCATCAGAGGGAAGCTCGCTGTAATAAAACGATAAAATGGACAATTATGAAAAAAATCCCCGGCCTTTAATTTCCTAAACACGCTCCGGAGAGAGAGAGAGAGAGAGAGAGGCCACTTAAGCCGCAGCGACTTGACGAGACGCTCAACACGTTCTCCCTCTGGTCTGTGACACTCTGAATTACTCCACAGGCCCGAGGAGCGGTCGGAGCGCCGCAGATCTCCGCTCACATCGCTCCTGTTTCACGTGTCGACCTCAGATTCTCCACGTAAATGAATAAATACAGATCCAGGCTGCTCCTCTGGATGTGTGACGTTTCCTGACAGAGGGTTTCTATCAGGTTCCAGTGCACGTTGCTGTGTAATAGTGTGTGTGATCTCTACTCTTTGTGTGTTTTAAAAACCGTACGAGCACGAGTGTCACGTTACTGTGAGTCCGAGCACACACGGTGTGAATCACTAGGAAACAACTCGTTCCACTCTGACTGTGGTTAAAACTGTGATTGAGTACAAATCTAAATGAACCTCTGTGTCTCTGCTGGTTTTGGTTCATGTGGTAGAAACGTCATTTCTCATAATGTCCATCTTCACGTTTAAAGATCAGTAATAATGTATGAAAATTACAATAAACCATCTATTGCACTGGTGCATGTTTTATTAAACCTCATTAAAACAAAGACGTAGCTTCCAAACAATAATTTAGAAGTGTATTTTTTTTTATGGGCCGGTGTTGGCAGGCAGGAAACATGATGACACAAAGCAAACCCTCCATTGTCAGGATCACATTAGCTCTTTGAGGCTCGCATGTCATTTTTTTTTCACGGCCGTATAAAGAAAAAGAAAAAAAACATTCCTCACCGAGACTCGTCTGACACGACGGCGTGAGATCTGCACCGTAAAGAGTTAACGAATCAGATCTTCTGGTTCCTCATGTAAATGTGTGTGTGTGTGTGTGTGTGTGTGTGTGTGTGTGTGTGTGTGTGTGTACACTATAGTGGCTGCTGTGTAAAATAACATGGAAAAGGTGATTTTCCACTATAGTGAGGTTTCCACAGTGTGTTTCCCTCAGGCAGCGGCAGAGACATGATTGAATTTGTGTGCGTGTGTGCGTGTGTGTGTGTGTGTGTGTGTGTG